TCCAACAATGGTGAATCATTAATGTACGGAATTTGTTACAGTGGGTCGTGTTTATGTCTGTAGCAAGAATGGTGAATCAGTCCAGACCATGCAATTGCTTTGTTATGGGTTGTTTGAGGTCTGCAGACTGTATCTATAGTTTGCATGTAATGGAAAGACAGAAGTTTCCGGGGTGGAAGACAGGGTTTTCAACTTGTATTCATCCCAGCTTGAATAGAAGAAGAATTGGGTTGTGTAAGCAACACTTGAGTGATTTATATCTTGGTTATATATCGCTTCAGTCTATTGATTTTGGTGCATGGGGATGAGAGATCTTGTAAGCAGCTACAACAATTTATATATATATATATAATTAACATTAATAATCTATAAATTCATAACTTAATAATTTAAAAAAGCTTATGAAAATATTATTTTAAACTCCCTATAAGCAAATTAGTGTTCAATAATATTATCGGTATTTTAAAAATATCTTGGATGTTTTTTAAGCATTTTAATTTTATAAATTTATTTATCAAATATATATATTATATATATATATATTTTAAAAAGAAATAGGGTAACGATATACATGTGCGTAAGAAGAAAGTTGCACCTAAATCCTAACAGAAGCTCTTCAAAACACGTGGATAATTTACCAGTGCCAACTACTTCATAATTTGTTATGTATTATATTTGTGGAGGTCATTTGGTTTTTAAGTTCACTATATGTATACATATATGACCTTGGAAGTATTATATATATATTTTTATATCATAAATTAAATTTATTATGAATATAATGTTTTAATAGTCAAGATTTTTATAATTTATTTAAAAATTATAAATTTAAATTTTATTAAAAATTATAAATTTATTATTTTATAATATTTAATTTAATAAAATTAAAATTTTAATTTATTAATATACTGATAAAATTATAATAATTAAGTTGAATTTAATTTAAAAAAAATATGATATATTCAAATGAAAAAAATATTTGAATTTTTTTGAATAAAAATTTAATTTAATTTTTTTAATTTTAAAAAATAAAATATTAATTTTTGTAGAAAAAGATTTACAAAATTACCAACATACTAATAAGTTTTTTCATATTGTTGAAAAATCAAATTAGAATATGGAGGAGGGGAAATGGAAAAGAAGAAGCATAGAAATTAAGAAAAGAAAAATCGAATAAATCCAGAGACCAAAAGCCAAAAGAGGGGGAAGAAGAACAGTGAAGAGTGGACTTGACAGTCATCCATTATTGTTACTTCCACTCCACTGGGTTTAAACAAATGTCTATAAATTGTTTCAGAAGCATAACATTACCAACCCCGATTCATCTTCTCTCTTCAATTCCCAATTTCACTCATAAACCCTTTCTTTCTTTTCTCAATAAAACCTCTTCTTCTTCTTCTTCTTCTTCTTCTTCTTCCTTTGTTCTGGCAAGATTAGTGTCTTCAATGTCTTACGACAAGGAGCTAGCTGCTGCCAAGAAGGCTGCCTCGCTTGCTGCTCGTCTCTGCCAGGTTCTTTCCTTCTCTATATATTTCTATATTCGTATCACCCTTTGTTATTCTCTGCTGAATTTACGACTCGAATTCTTTCTTTCTACGCGACCCTTTATCAAATTAATTGATTCACCAAAACCCATTTCGTTGATTTTGTTTGAATTTGACGAAACTCAATCAATCAATTTTCTATTTTCAACAGATTTCGTCGTTGTTTCGACGTGTTGCATTCTCATGATAGTAACGATTCCTCTGATCCTCCTTTTCTCGCAAGCTTTTTTCTTTTTTTTTTTTCATCCTCAATGTTCTTCGCTACCTCGTTCTTGTTGTTGTTGATGTTTGATTTTTTCTTCTTGTTGTATTCTCTCTCAATTATTGGCTTCTTTATTGCACTTTCATTTCAGCTTCGTTTTCACGATAGCGAGTTATTAATTTATATATTATTTATTTAATGTCGTCCTGTAAGTTTTTTCTTGCCATTGTCATGCAGTTGGAATTAACTGTGTAATTTTTCTTCCTTTTAAAAATAAAGCACTGTAAATACTGTTAGTTTTATTTTTTGTGTTATATATTCCTATTTACTTTCAGGGTGTTTCATTTTATTCTTTTTCTATGTACTTCAGAAGGTGCAGAGCGCGTTGCTGCAATCTGATGTGCAGACAAAATCAGATAGAAGTCCTGTAACAGTGGCTGATTATGGTTTGTCATCAAATTTTCCTGCGAATGCAATTCTTTTATGTGTATACTCGTATTTCTTTTATTCTTCTTTTTTTCTCAATGCTGTTATCTAATAGATAGACATCTGGCTAGTTTTTGTATTCTTTACTTATACATTACTTTTCTGGTTCATAGTATCTTAATCAGGTCATTAGTTTTCTTTTATTTTACATGATACACTAGGTTGCATGTACTTTTTTAGAATCCATTTGCAAAGAGAGTAGGATCCATCTAATGTGGGTACTAGAACATGTGGCAGAATTTTCCCTCTTACACCCTCGGGTATCTTGTGGATGAGGGCTGTTAACTTTTGAGGATGTTCCTGATTCTTCTGGGAGAGTTAGGGATTTATGGTTCTAGCATCTTTTTTTTAAAATCTTTTATGCAAAATGCTTATATATCCTATATGAATCCGAAGCGCAACCTTCAACTTACCAGGTGTATTTTATTTTTACACAGTTGCAAAAGGAACATCATATGATTCGTATACGTTGAAACCTTGATCTTTTTAGCAACTAAGAATTACAATATTAGTGTCCCATTAACATCAAAATCCTTTTAATATTTGTGCTCAAACTTTTAAATAATTTCAGAATTGACAGCATGTGGAATTTTTTTTCTTTACTTCTTTTATCAAATAAGCTTGAGCTTTTTGTAAACCATGTGAATGTTGTAAACGTTTCTTAGTAATCAACAAGTGAACAAGAATAAGTTGGAAGTAGTCAAATGTGGCTGTCTCATCTATAACAACTGAGAATGCTAGTGTTATTCTCTTTAACCTCTGGTTAATGTGGGTTCTCATTAGATCTTTTGCAAGTTTATTGCATAAGGAAAAACTCAAGCATCATCATGTTTTATTAAGGGGCTTGTATCTTTATCCACTAGAGTAGACCATGAATAACAACAAAGAAAAGAAAAATTAGGACATGAATTATCATAAGGTAGTTAAGTACTTAAACCCCAAAGTCATTTGCATATGATTATAACTTGCAACATCAACATCGTTTTTCCTTTTGCATGAATTAGTACTTAAAGAACTATTGACATTGTTACTCTATATGGCTCTGTATTCGGTGTGTAAAATAAAAGCTTTGGTTATTCGTACAAGTTTTGGCCTGCTACTCTTTCAGCACTGACTGAAACCCCTTTTTTGTTTCGATAACTGTTTTATTTTGGTTTTCAAAATTATTGGCTTCTTTAGGATCTACATATTATAGAAGAAATATTTCTGCTTTTTTTCAAATAAAAGAAGGAATATTATTTGTATTTATGGAAAATGAACAGCTAATGCTATTCTCTTTTAATTCATGTGCATTATTTTGTGATTCTCAGGCTCACAAGCGCTGGTTAGCTTTGTTTTGGAGAGAGAACTCCAATCTGAACCATTCTCACTAGTGGCTGAGGAGGTGAATATGTGAACCTCCTGTAAAAATTTGCAATAAACATGAAGTAACCTCCTCTCTAGTGGATGAAATTCCATTTTATGCATAAATATGTTTAAATCTGTAGGATTCTGGTGATCTTCGTAAGGATGGTACTCAAGAAGTTCTAGAACGCATTACAAAGGCTGTGAATGATGCTTTGGCTAGTGATGGATCATACAGCACTACTTTATCCAAGGAAGACGTGCTGAGGGCCATCGACAATGGCAAATCTGAAGGTGGTTCCCATGGCCGACATTGGGTTTTGGACCCTATAGATGGTACAAAAGGGTAAATTTTGAAATTCCTTCATGGCATGAGTTAATTGGACTCATCCTTTCCTTGCAAATGAGAGATAGATGCCATGATTATTTATTATCAACTAATTGTGCAGGTAGAGATGTTTTCTAGATTTTACATGACCGGGCGGACATCCAAAAAAACTTGCACCACTTGCATTTTCTTTTCTAGTGTCGAACATGTTTGTTTTTTTTTTCTTTTAAAATAAAGTATTGAACATGTTTGTATAGACAAGAACTGTTGAGAATGTGTTTAAAATATTTGGTTCTTTTAAGCAAAATTAAGCACATTTTTTAATCTTCCTGTTTGGTAACATAAAAATATAATATCTTTATCGCTTGTTAGGTTTTTTAATGTGACTTTAAGAAGATAGAAATAATGCACCTATTTACTCTTTGTGTTCTTTTTTTTTCTGTAGCAAGTTTACTTAAATACTCTCCTCATATTCACTTAATACGAACAATTTATATAGAATAATGAAAATCTACAAAAATATTTATAAATAAATTTATTTCTATTTATTTTATACAAAAGAAAATAACTGTTTATTTTTTGTACAATAAGTATTTTATCCAAATGCGTAATTACTTATTTTTAATTTATCTACTTTAAGTAACTTAAGTTCTTTCTGCAATTCCAAACACCCTCTAAATTGGTAAGTAGGATTTACTTGATCTGCTATGCATTAGGTCATATAAAGTTATATTGGCAGAAAGATATTTTTTTAGTCAAAATATTACAGTAGACTAACCTGGTGGTCTATTCATATAAACTTGCCACAATTTAGCCTTTTCCTTCTGTCACACAGCAAGTTCTTCATTACTTGCTTAAGTTATGGTCCTTTTATCCTTTGACTAAATGATTACATATTTTGTGATTCTTCTCCTCAATCACCTGTGATTCAAGTTCATGGCTTTGTTGGTCTAACCAGTCATTATGGCCTGGATTTCTAAGATGTACCTCTCTGTTTGAAATTTGATTTTTTACGGTGGGTCCGTGGGTTAATCTTCATCATTATGCCTTCTCTTCCATGAAATTTCTGAGAGTAGAATGATTGACTTCCTCATTAGTTTTATTCTTCCCTTTTGAAACTATGAATTTTATTCAAATAGCTTACAAATTTTAAATTGATCTACAGGTTTCTAAGAGGAGATCAATATGCGGTAGCGTTGGCCTTGCTTGATGAAGGAAAAGTCGTGTTGGGTGTCCTGGCTTGTCCTAATCTTCCTTTAGCACCAATTGGTGTTAATTATCAGCATTCTGCATGTGATGAGGTTGGTTGCCTTTTCTTTGCGGAAGTTGGTTCAGGAACTTATATGCAGTTGCTTAGTGGCTCCTCACCAGTGAAGGTATTTAATTACTGTCCTTCCAAATGATACTTTATATATATACTTGATCGGCTCTCATATATCTCCATTTCCTATGCCCTTCAGGTGCAAGTCAGTGCTATTGAAAATTCTGAAGAAGCATCTTTCTTTGAGTCATATGAAAAAGCACATTCCATGCATGACTTATCTAGCTCCATTGCAAAAGTACTCTCTTTCTGTCTTGCTTCTATTTATTTTCTGTCTAGCTATGTCACTCTATGTATGTACACACACACACACACACGACACACTAGTTTTTCTTATTCTCATTAATCCATTCCCTTAGCAGAAGCTTGGGGTTAAAGCAGCGCCTGTTAGGATTGATAGCCAGGCAAAGTATGGGGCTTTGTCTAGAGGAGATGGAACCATATACTTGCGCTTCCCTCATAAAGGTTATCGTGAGAAAATATGGGATCATGCTGCCGGGTCAATCGTAGTGACTGGTATGAAAAGTATCCTTGTGCATGGTTGGAACGAACTTGTCATGCTTTTGCATATAAAAATTGTTAAGCCAGAAAGAGCAGGAGGTCGTTAATGTCATTTAGATGAAAGTATTTCTTTACCTGGCAAAAGCTTCTTTTAGGCTCTGTTAGGAACAACTTCAAAACTTGTGTAGAAATTAGAATATATAATTATCCTTATTAAAATAATTGAGCTCTACAAATAAATTCTGCATAAGTTTCGAATTTGTTCTGTACATAGCTATAGAAAAGTATAATAAGAAACTTCCATTTTCCATGATGATGCAGATTATTATGAACTGCAGTGCATTTGCAGATACCAAAGTATTATTTATAGAAGTCTTTGCAATGCACCCTGCTTGTATTTTCATAATAAAGTTTGTCAATTCAATTTCTGCAGAAGCTGGGGGTGTTGTCACAGATGCAGCTGGGAATCCTTTGGATTTTTCGAAAGGAAAGTTTCTCGATCTTGAGGTTGGTATAATTGTTACGAATCAGAAGTTAATGCCATCACTCTTGAGGGCAGTCAGGGAATCTATAGAGGAGAAAGCTTCATCTTTGTGAATTTTTGAGAGGAAAGTTTCTTGATATTGAGGTTGGCATCATTTTTGACCAATCAGAAGCTAATGCCGGCACTCGTGAAGGCACTCAGGGATCTATCGAGGGGAAAGCTTCATCTTTGTGATTCTTTTCGTGGATTCATGATATCACAATTTTCTTTTTTGAGTTGATTATTGCTTGAAAGAATAATTTTCACCTTCAGATGTAATGTGCGAGCACCTTTTATCATGTAGCATTTCTTTGTTGGATCTTCTCTGGTAAGGACAAAATTTTCCAAATAAGGAAATCCACCAGTTTTATAATTCAAGTCTAGCCAGTTTAATATAGGCTACGTTTGAGTTTTATTTTTAGAGTTCATTTGAAAGCCTAATTATTTTAGTTCTGAAAATAAACTTTTTTTATAAAATAAAAAAATTGACTTAGAGAGTGTAATTGAGACAGGACATTTCAAATTTCATCATGAAATGGTAAATTAAATTATATACATTTCATAATAAATTTCGCTTCATAAACATGGGGTAACTTGATAAAAAATTTTGTCTTTGTAAAACTATGATTTTTCATAGAAAATCCGTAAAGGAGATTTATATGTTTCAAAAATAGCCCAGTATTTTCAAATAAATCTCTCTCTGTCATATTCTATGCCTGGTAGTATCTGGAGTGGCAAAAGATATTAAGAGAAATTCAATTTCAGTTCCAATTCCAGTTGGCTTCAAAAGCTTCATTATGCTTCTCTGAATACAAGAAGAAGCTTCAAAAACTGGGGCTTCATCTCATTAATAATACAATATTATAGTAATAGAAGAAAAACCTGCAACTCCAAAGAGGCCAAAATTGGCAACTCATCTCTGTTTGAGTTTAAAGATTCCCACGATTTCCTCTTCACCATTTCAATCCAAATCAAAGAGCTTACTACCTTCCCGTAGTTTCCAGTAAGTGCATTATCAAGTTAGTTGCAAGTGAAAAAAACACAAATTACCAGTGAAAAGGTCCGTCAGCTTTCAGCTTATATGCATTTGAGTTGGTGTTTTTGCCGAAGTAGACTGCAGTGAGCAACCATCAAGTTTACAACTACTACAGCTGCTTTACCAGCATTATACTTTGATGAAAAAGCAGTTGAACATAAATATACCTATTATCCTGCATATTCAGAGAGGAACATCTTGTGGATAGTCTTGTGGGTGCCTCTTAATGGTTTCTCTCAACAATCTCTCTTGCTCTTGAAGGTTAGATGGGAGGACATCATATACATCGGTAAACAAGTCTTGAACCGGAGGTTTCTCAATGTTCTCTGCTGTTTGAATTGCGTGAAGTAGCTGTTACAAGAAATGCTACCAGTGAATAAGAGGAAAAAGGGAAAAGAAATTGTAAAAACAATTAACCAATAATCGGTTGCAACAGGGAGCAAATCAATCATCATATACATTCGATTTTTGAAAGGACGGACAACAGCATGCTCTACAAATTAACATCAAGTACTTGCATGAATTTAGTGCCTTACAGTCTCATATCTAATATTTGGCTCCCAGACAAATTTCTTCTCTCCAAGGATGTGGCATGGCATGTTGTTATTATTCAGGCACTAACAAACATGTATAAGTCCCACACTATTTTTCTAAAATATTTAATGAGAATAAACATATTTTATATTTAGGAGGCCAAAAGCTATAAGATGCTTGAAGAAACCTTTAACAAGTAAATTAATGGAAGGAATAGTACATCACCGCGAAGGAGGATACATTGGTGTCAAGCTTTGGTCTTTACACATAGGAGACTATGCGCAAATGGTTGATTTTCTCCAGTTTTCCCCATTAATTAGGTTTGCAAATTGACCAGGTAATTAAATGTATGAAATAAATCCTGCATTTCATATGGATCTTTTTATCAAAAGTCTTAATTTATTTACCTGCTTCTTCACGCTGCTCCTGAGCTCTGACTCTGCCTCACTGTTCCACCAATCCTTGCTTTCAATCCATTTTCTAAATCTACTTACAGGGTCTTGTTCTGTTTTCCACCATTCTATCTCATTTACTGGTCGATACTTGGTAGAATCGTCTGATGTAGAGTGGTGCCCCACACGATATGTTAAAGCCTGCAATGAGAAAATTCAAACCAGAGATAAATGCATGTCATCTAGGGTTCAGCATCTTACATCTAATTAAGAATACAATAATTATTTTACCTCAATTAAGATTGGCCTATTTTCACAAACAGCCATTTCACGTGCAGTATGAACTACACTGTACATGGCAAGAGCATCATTTCCATCCACACGGATACTTCGGACCCCATAGGCTCGGCCTCGAACAACTGCACCGTCACCTAGTTTCAATAGAAACACCTCAATGAATATGTAATGAACTATCATGTATATGATAATGGATCGAGTAGAAGCAATTACTTCGAAACTGATCTGAAGTAGGAGTACTGATGGCCCATCCATTATTCCGACAGACAAATATGACTGGTGCTTCCATAACTGCTGCGAAATTTAAAGCAGCATGAAAATCTCCCTAGCAATTGTATCATGTTAGAAAACAGAAAGCTAAAGGCCAAAATTAGTTTGTAATATATAGCAGCAAAAAAAAAATAGAAACGCCCCATTCCAATTTTTTTAACATTCAGTTATCTGTTCTTTCACTCACTAGACAGTTATTGCAAAAAAGTAATAAAGCTTTTGACCAGAAAGGGTAGAAAATACAGAAAGAAAGTTGATATGTACTGTGTTATAGATGATTATATCAGTCACTGATAGAATTGTTTCAAACACCAAGAAACACAGAGTCACTGAAAATTGAATGGAGAGATTTGGGTTCCTAGTAGCATGGATCATATCATTCCCCTCAAGAAAAACAGACAAAAATGAGTTTATGTTGCTATGTTTACCTCACTTGTGCCACCATCACCAAAGTAAGTGACTGTACATGCATTTTTTCTGTCCATCTTCAAAGAATATGCAGCACCAACTGCATGGGGAAGTTGTGTACTGGCGAACAGTAAAAACTCATGGTCATAATTTTTCAGATTCATAATGACTTGCAATGGTCTTGAACCAAGGATCCCACATAAACATGGTTTGTATCTTACGCAATTGTTGATGCCACTGTAAAATAATTATGCTTGTTGGATCCATAATGGATAGGCATCTGCCTGCCTTTCCCATAATCAGTCTTATTGGAAAAACACTGGTTTGCAAACTCTTGAAGGGTAAAACCACGCCATAGCAGAACTCCTGGCTCCCTGTACTGCATGGAGAGCAGAACTATTTCCCGTCATTTTCGTCTTGACATGAAAATAATGGATGGAGTAATATGAAGTGCGTAAAATTTCAATCAATAAATTCAGATAAAAGAATTTGTACTTCACCTAAAACTAACACTTGAAATGTCTATCCAGATTCACAAGTCTTAGTAATTGCAGAAGTTTTGGGGTATATTTGGATACAGTACACATTGAGCAAATGGATATATTAAATGCACGAGGCCATAGATGTGCTTGTTACCTGAGGGAAGATAACGTCATCAGCAGTAAGTGCCGCAGCAGATGCAATGTTTATGGCCTCTTCACCAATGGTGGTTGCATAGAAGGAAATTCTTCCTTGCCTTTGTGCTTCGTAGAAGATTGTGTCCATTGTTTGAAGAGTAACCATGTCACTGTACATTTTTACTGCAATTTCCTTGCTTACCTAAATAAAAGCATGGCTAGTAAGTCCTCAACATGGAAGCTAAAATTGTGAAATGGAAAAGATAGAGAAGAGTTTCCTCTTCCTTTGCAGAAACAGAAACTGTGGCTTGGAGGACAAGCGAAATTACCGGTACAAAATTGCTGTGCTTAACTGGCTGACCGTTCTCATCAAGAACTCGGTAGCAGTGAGCACGCTCTTCAGGGGATTCTGGTATGAAACTCATATCAGGCGTGAAAACCACCTTTCCACCTGGAAAATCCAAGGCCTACCACAGCAAGCATATGCATTCACAGAGAAAGAATTTAAAGTAAATGAGAGTTTAAGTGTTGAGCAATAAAATCGCAAAAGGGCCAAAAGACATCCTAAACCACTAAAAGAAGACAACAGAAATATGATAACCAAATTCATGAGGTATTCTAACCAGATTAACAGGCAACTAGAATATAAAAAATGTTTAAGCGATCTCATGTTGATAGATGCTAGCAATTGTTACAAGTTACCGTTAGGTCATTCTAGAGAATATCATTTTCACTTTCCAAAAAAGTCTACTTGAGCATAATAAGGATTTATGATGCCATAACAAAATGCTGACAAGTAATAAAAAACAAAAGGCATACGCAAGATGGGTTGCAAAATTTACAAATAATACAGGCACAAGATAAGGTAATTGAATAAATAATATGCCTCTGTGGATCATAAAAGTTCAGCCAATCATCATACTAACTGGTGTATATTCCATAATAGTGAAGTGAGACGAACCAACAAAAGAATAATATTTTGTTAATTTTAAGTTCAACTCACAAAAAGAATCTTAACTAGTATGACCTCGTTGAGTCAAGCAGCTAGAATCCTTTTCGAAACTAATAGCTCCACTAAGAAATCATAAGGGATAGATAACTTTACATAATACATCTATTATTCCTCAAACCTTGGAAGCTAGAAAAAGGACAACTATTTAACTCTCTTAAAAAGAATCAAATATGATTAGAGACTATTATGTTTGCTTATTCCTATCTTATTCCTGTACTTGGAATGTGCATGTTTATCAATTCTAATACTATCTTAAATACTTTGGGGATGGATTTCTAGTTTCTACCGGACTCAGGATCATATTTTTTATATTTGAACAAAGTCAAATTTTATGCTGACCTCCTTAGCGTCGGATCCAAATTCCTATTTGGCTCTCCAATAAATTCAAAACAGGATTGGAGCCATCCAACAGGTTAAAACGAGGATGCTTGTAAGAATCTAATCAAATTAAATAATGAGTAGAAATAATCAAATTTTACTTCATTTTAAAACATAAGTTGGACAATGCAGATCAAGCCAGTCAGGAAATATACGTACCTGCTTGCTGTTAACATGATAGGAAGAATCCAACTGCTTCTCCACCTCGGAGGATCGAAAGCGGCAAAATGAAAGTTGCGCAGTTCTATCATGCAAATTTGAAAATAGATTTTTGAACTGCGGAGAAAATGGAGGTGTTAATGGACGGCGGTGCTCCAGCCGAGAAGTCTGGTTAATGGTGCTGAACAAACGCAGCTTAGGTTTCAGATTCTTGAGAATGTTCCTTGATGATTTAACGCAGAAAGCCATTGGAGATGAATGAAGAAACTGGAGAGAGTATCGAGAATTCAGTCAAACGTTCATGAGACGACGAGGAGAAAGTATTGAGAGGGAGAGAGAATGGTGTTTCTGTTTGTTTGGTAGTCGCCTTTCGCCATGCTTGCCGATACATCCATATGACCGGATGCTGAGCATTTAGTGCTCGTGGATGATATTTCCACGTGGCGGAGTTAGAATAATTTAGAAATAATTTTATAAAACATTTTTTTTTATTTTTGTGATTTTATCAATTATTAGTATGTTATATTAAATATAAATAATAAATTAATATTATTTGTTTGAATATAAATAATTAATTAAATTATTTACTACTAATTTAATTTTTTTTAAAATAATTAATCGTGAAACAAATTATGACAAGAGATTGAGAGTTAAAAATGTTAATTATTAACATTATATTAATTAAATTTGAGTACAAAATATGAAAATAATATATCATATCTATAATATAATAAATTTTTTTGTTTACTTAATTTAAAAAATTTTAAAAAAATAATTAATTAAAAATTGCAATATATGAAACCATTTCATAAGTATAAATTTGTAAATAATATTTAAAATTTAAAAAATAAACAAAAAGTTTGATTACATATATAATCTTATATCCTAATTCATGGCACCTATTAATATATTAAATTTATAACATCTGCTGTAATTATAATTATACAGTAATTATAGGCAATTAATAGTCTAATAATCTTCTTTACATCCTAATAACTATTATATTTTTAATATATTTATATATATAATTGTTTTATATAATAAACCAAATGTAAAAGCATACATACAAAAAAAAAAAAAAAGACTATTTCTCTAGCTTCTTATTTCCTGAACTCAAATATTATTCATTCAAAGCCCAAAAACAGCTTAGTCATCTGCTGGCTCAGTATATTATTGTTTTATCTCTTTACACATTTACAACTATATTGTTTCAATTTTAAAAAAAAAATATTAATTTCTTTAAAGTGTGAATGACTTGAATTCTAATACATACTTTAACAATTATATATTATTATAATGTAAATTTAGATATTAAACTTTTTACAATTCAAATTTTTAATATTCTTATAAAACCACATATATGTGTCGTAATTTAAAATTTTATTAAATTTAAGATTGTACCAATATAAAATCACCAAATGATGCATATTATGCGACCGTTTTTAGCGCTTTAATCCAAACATTATTAGTTAATACTTTTTTAGAATTAAATTATTAATTTTAAAAAAAATTAAAATTAAAATTATTAAAAGTATATAATTTAAATTTATATATAAAACTCAATAATCATATTTTTTTATATATATTATTAAAATATTATTATTTTTTGAAGTATTTAAATTTAATTTAATATTTTAAATACTATATGTAATTGATTATGCGATAGTATTTATTATCGTGTTCTTTCGATGTTTTAAAATTTGGATTTATATTATAATACTCTCCCTTTCGCTCAATTGGCTCTTACCCTATGCATGCAAAATATTTACTTAATTTAGTGGTTCTTATATTTATTTATTTTTTAAAAATATAAATTTAAATCGAAGTATGCTTTTTTATGTGTATATTTTTAAAAAAAAATTATTGATATTGTATTATAATTTATGTATGTATTAACATAATTAATGAAGATATGTGTTATCTGCTAAAAAATATTACATACATATTTACACATACACCCACATGTATATGTATGTATGTGTAATGCATATATATATATATATATATATATGTTTGAAATCACCAATTTGTTTTTGTCTATATTATTTGAACTTTTGTTTTGATGGAAAAGAGATGAGGTGAAAAAGTGAGGATAGAAAACATAATTAGGTTGGTAGGAGTAAAAAAGGTGTTGTGTTAAAAGGCAAAGGATTTATAAGCACTTTAGGAAGCAGAAAAGATACTTAATGTACATGTGTCTTAATTTGGGTTAATTATAAACCATTTTGTAGAAAAGGGAATTTAGAGTACACATGCAGCTACCATTCCAACCTTATAATTATTATATGCCCCCACTCACCTTCATTCATGCTTCCCTACCCATGTCTCTGTGTGTGAACCCTCAATTTTGTTTTTGGGTTATAATGTTTTTTCACCTACCCCTTTTAAGAAAGTGACAATCATGCATATATAGAGCTATTGGTGATCTTGTAGACTGGCAAGTAATAGTTAATGATAATCTATATGTATATTTATATATTAAGAGGTGGGATATGTGTAATTGGGGATGATGGGTTAGTTTTTTAAGAAATATATATATATATATATTAATTTGGAGAAGTTACATCTTCAAGATCATCATGTAAGGAGAAGAACATTTCATCCAAACATGAAAGCTCGATTCCATCCTCATCATTATCACCACTGCTACTGTGAGAAAAACCCTGAGAATTCCCTTCACCCACCATCATGAACTCTACATAAACCCATTTTTTCCTCTCCTGTATGTATATATATATATGTGTATATTACTACGCAGTTAAAAGATTACATGGGTGATCTTAAGGAACTTATGGATAAAAGAAATGATATTACATAATTAGATAATACTTACTGAAGAAGTAATATTAGAGGTAGGGAGGTGATATTGTTCCATGAACCAGTTGGTTTGAATAGCAGAAGGAGGTTGACCAAGAAAGAAGACAAGATGCTTTTTGGTCCCAATTAGGAGCTTATTACCACGACTGAAAATGGCTTCTCCTTCTTCTTCTTCTTCTTCTTCTTCATCAACTGCCTTCCAATATCCATTCTCTGTCTTCCCTCCGTTAATTTCCTTAGATCCCACTTGGGTAAAGAAGTAATATCTGTTCCCGCTCACCACTGCTTTCCCTATACGTATATATCAATAATTCATTCACGGGTATACATATATATATACATGTATTTATGGAAATTGAAGAGATATATATAAGATGAGATGATGACCTTGGAGGTGGGAAGGATCAGAACGGTAGAAATGGAGATGGGGAATGTTGGGATGACAAGGTAAACGAGAAGCTTTCCTGTAGAGAAAGTGAGTGATGAGTTCTTCATCTGTAGGGCAAAACTGGAAACCAGGAGGAAGATTCATACTCCCATCTCCCATCATCTTCTATTTTATCTGTTTATATAAAACTACCTGTTCTTTCTTGTGTAGTTTTATCCAAAAAAACGAAAAATTGCTCTTGTTCTCATCTCTCTCTCTGTATATATAGCACACCCTAGCATGCTCTTTCTATACATACATACATATATATATATATAGATATACCTAGTAAAAATGTAATTGACATATACTTCATTTCTACAGTTGAAATTTTCATGATTCTGAATGCTGTATTTTAAATGTTGTTGAAAAAAATCATAAAATTAAAAACATAATATCTAAGTATATTTTTTTTTAATATGAGATTGGAATATCATAATTTTTGTTATTCAAATTTTTGCAGAGAAATAATTTCTAAAATCACACTAATTTAATATTTACTCTAATTTAATGCTTGAAAATTTAAATTAAAATTATTAATATTTTTGTAACGATTTAAAACTTGAAAGCATATAAATTATAAATTAATTATAGAAACGAAATAATAGCGTTAGGATTTACATTGCTTATACAATAATTTAGAATAACCAATAGAATTATGGAAATGACCATTCTAAAAGAATAACGAATAATTAAAGAAATAAATGAAAAGTAAACAACTGAATATCTTATTCGCAACTCTTTTATGAATCAGAATCTGAATCTTGGTTCTCTTTATCTGAAATGGTTAATGAAAGAGTAAGTTACACTAGTTCAGCAAGAATGTCATATTATTTACCGATACAGAAATGAAGGTTAATAAAAATTATGAAAACAACTAATGGAGCTCTTAATTTAATTAAATTCATTTATCATAAGTAAATAATTTATTATACACTTTCCGCAGCGAAATTTTCAAAATCGATTTTTAGAAGCAATAGCACGAACAATATCATAATCTCATATTCAATTAACCAGAACAATAACTTTTATTTTTTATCTGCCTGCTAGTATCAATGGGGGTCTATAGGGATATCCACACTACGCGTGAACCCTTATTTAATATTTTTAAGTAACCGGTTATCCCTATATCTTGTCTGATATGAGCGTAAAAAATACTATCTTTCAATACCACGTCCGGTATGAGGATGAAACGGGCCGTCCTCATACCCCATCCGGTATGAGCGCCAAAATATCAATTCTCGATACTTCGTCCAGTATGAGGTAATATTCACGATATGGTTCCTTATTCACCCGGTCCGTCCACCATCTCTTAAGATATCCAGTAAGACTATTATTCAATTATTCATTAAATCAAACAATTTTCTATTTACATTTAATTTTCACTTTCACAATTTAACTCTAAATCACGCAGAATAAGCAACAGATGCATCAAAGAAACACCACTGAATCATCATACCAACTTCAGTGTAATATTATGCATTTAAAACCGTAAAATCAATCAAACAGGATCAACAGTGAATAATAACCGGTTCCAATTCTATTAGTAACTTATGATTAATTATCGAAATTTTCAAAATTATACAAAATATTACTTTATTTATAATTAAACTTTAATTCCATAACAAGAAATAGAGTGATAGATTCTTATTCGAATTGATGTCTGAAACGCTAAGTTTTCAGCTGCGCCTACTAGCGGTCCCCTGGGTTTCCTAAATTTTTTCTTTAAGATTAAAACACGCTCTAAATACCTAAAAATACTCCCCAAAAATCTAAAATCAGTGTTAGAAACTTTTTTCCAGCTAATTTCATGATTCCGGTATGGTGGCACCGCCGTGCTCCAGCGATGGCACCGCCGCCCGTAGCGGTGGTTTGCCTCGGGCTTGCTGTTTTCGGTCAGTTTCGGCTGATTTTGGCCAGTTTTGAACTCATCTCTGCGAGAAAACACGTTACGGGGCATCAGTTGTCGAAAAAAGTCGAAAAATAGAAGCTTACCAGTGGTAGAATTTTCTAGTGCGGCAGCTCTGCCGGCTCACCTTCGCGGTTGGACGTTTTTCTTCGGTCAACCTGTGGGAAACAAAATTGTGAAAAAATTGTACAAAACGGGAATCAGGAATGGACTGATCAAATGCAATTTTTGATTTTTCTTGCGGCAGCGTCCTTGAGCTTTACCCGTAGTTTTCGATTCAATTACCGATTCTTTTACTTCGATTTAGGCATAAGGGTGTTCAAGATCAAATTTCGAGCGATTGAGAGAATTTTTTTACTTTTTATGCAGTCAGAGGTGGCTCCGGCACTGCAGTGGGCGGCGGTGGGCTCCCTTCTCGGTATCTAGTTTTCCTTCTCAAGCGGGAGAGGGAGGGGAGCTGGCAGCTAGGGTTAGGGTTTGGTGTGAAGTGAAGTATTTTTATCCATCTCTTTTTAATTTGGGTCGTCCATCGCGTTTGATATGAACCGTCTGATCGCGTTTAAATAGAAAATGAATCTGAACCGTTCATCACGATTTGATATGTACCGTACGATCATACATGAGGAGGAAACGGATCTGGACCATTCACATGTCCGGGAACACATCCGAACTGTCCGATCGCGAGCAACGGATTGTCAGCGTGGCCTCCCGTGTGGCATCCTGTCAGCGTGCCTTGCCACGCGACGCGTTCCGGTTCGTCGAGATTGCTGACTGGGCAGTCCTACGTAGCACATTTTTTTTTAAATTACGTTTTAACTATCAGTTTTTTATTTTTCTTTCAAAAACACATTCGGAACTCAAATTTTCATCCCTCATTTTTAAAATTATTTTTAATTTTCTCTTCCATCTATTTTTCTTAATTTTTTTTTTACAATAAATAAAAATTCATAAATTCAAAAATTATATTTTATACATTAATTTTAAATTTATATATTTTAAAATTAATTTCTTGAGTATTATAATTTTATGACTTTTCAAAAATTATATATATCTTTTTATATGAGATTAAAGTATTAGGTTACGTTTACAACAAGTTTTTCTTCAGAAAAATAGACGATTATAGTAAAGGAGTTAATGGAAATGGGATGGTGGAAAGAGAGGCGGCTGCCTGTATATATCCAATGTTACAACACTATCTTACATACTCAGGTGTGTGTACGTATACGTATACGTATACGTATATATATACATATATATATATATATATATATATAAAGTGAAAATATAGGTACCTTTGTACTTTTGAGCTGGAGGTGAATGTGTGAAATCAATGCATGGTTTAGGATGGCAATTAAGTCTGAACTCAAATTTCAACTTTAACAAGAGAAAAAAGAAAAAAGAGGTTTTGTGATGGTTAAGTAAAGAATTTTGAAAAGATTTAGAAAGAATGAAGTTGGGTAATCACTATTAGTCCTTTCATGAATTTAATGTATTAAACACATACCTAATTTTATTAAAAAAAATTATCATATAATTATTTATTCAATTTAATTAATTAATTAATTTATTTTATTTTTAACACGTAAAATATTACTTAATATCTAATTTTTTTTAAAAAAATTATCAAACTACATAGCAATTTTCTGATAAAAATATAGTTGTACATGAGCCACCTAATTTTCTGATTTTATTTAATGATTAAGAGGTATGTTTAACATTAATCTTGATTTATGATTAAACAAATTATAAATTAGTGATGGTTTAAATAAAACATACCTACCTAATTATTGTGTTTGTCTATACGTGCCTCCTAAAAATGTCATCTTTTTCTTTTCAAGATTTCAATAATGATTTTTTTTTTCTTTTTTCTTTATAATTAGTATGATTTTCTCCTTCTGTTTTTCTTTTGGAGACAAAATTTTTTTTAATGAAAAGTGAAAAAAAAAAAAATTAACAAATTGATTAATGTTAAACACCTCTTAATGATCTTCTTTGGTTGTCGCATTTAAAAAGTTGATTAAAAATTAAATTAGTTTTTAAAATAAGAACCACTAAATAAACACTTTCAATTGTTAATCTATTTAATTTTAATATCTCTTTGAACAAAGATAAACACAAGTCTGTAATCATATTTTTTCCAATACAATCTGAATTGTGTAGAGGGTAGTTATTATTAATTATCTTTGTCCTTTATATATATATATATATATGTGTGTGTGTGTGTGTTTGTGTACATATACTTTGAGTTACATAAATATGGAAGCAACAGAGAAATGAATATTATCTCTTTTCTATCAAATGCCGCAAAATATGGTTGTTTTATTGCCATGAAAAACAAAACAAACCTTACAAAATTCCACACTAAAAAACAAAACCAACCCATCAAAATCCAATTATATATACATATATATATAAGACATTATATATTGTGTCTGCATCACTTCATCACGCCTCCTTCAGCCCACCGCCCCTCACCTCCCCCCTCTCTCCCTTCCCCCGGCCGACCATCCGTCCATCAATGCATTCGCTAATCCATCACGATTGCTTTGTATTTACTAAAGGTGGAGTTCCATACAGTACCATCGTCTTTTTCTTCATTTTCTTGACCTACCAACTGGTTAAATTTTTGTGGATACATATATGATTTTATAAGTAGGTATTATATGTAAGAACTTAATAATAAGCAGTAGCTGTTATAATCTTTGTACTAAAAAATTTAAACCCAATTCACATATTACTTCAATACTTCTTTAATGAGCTAACAGTCTAATCCTATTGTAATTGAAAATTACGAATCAGAATTTGTCAAATATGTAAAGGTTGTCATTTTAAATTAACGATAGTTACTAGTGTAAGTAATAATATCTTTTGACGAAAGCAAGCCATCATGTTTGCAATCACAACGAGTAAAATGCATGACAAAGCCCTTTCCTCAATTAAAAAAAACTCATCATCATCTACGCCATTATATATATATATATATATATATTATACACACATATATATATAATATATACACTATACTGACCTGGGAAAGGTCTATATTGATCTGGGTCAGTGTTGGTGTAGTGGATAGATGTGAAAGCTTTGATTTATGGAGTCTGCTGCGTGTCAGTTTGTAATAAGAGATTTATCTGGAGAGTATTATGTGATTTGAAACTTCTTTTCTTACTCACCAATCAATATGCTAAAGATAATTACTACCTTAATTGCTTTTATTCTTACACGCATCTGCATATTCATTTTTGTTCTAATCTTCTTCTCTTTATACTGTTGAAGATAAAACTGATAAGTCAATTTCTTTGCTTTTATATATATACACACATATACATACATGTATGTTTTATGATCTTTAATCATTTTCAGAGCTTGCAATTTGTTTGTATTCTTTAGTTGAAACCACGACAGCTTTGATAAGATTAAATGATTATTAACTTCGATTTTAGATATTTAATTATTCTTCTTAATTATAATTAGTTTGAGATTAAACCTATGTGGGAATCTTCAATTACATCTCATTTTAAACGTATATAATATTTAAAATTTACAACCTAAAATTTTAAAGAAAGGCGTGGTTTTGAATATTTTAATCAGTAAATTTAGCCCATTAAATATAGTGTTTTGTGTGCTGTGTATAAAAAAAGATACTACACAAATTTATGATGGAAGTAAAATCCTCTAGTCACTGCTTTGCCCTGGAAACAGCTAAAATAACAAATGTAATTATCTTTTTTCTTTTTAAAAATTAAAAAAGGTTATTTCGAAATTTTTAATAGTTATAAAATATTTTTTTATTAATTTTATTAAATTAAATATTATATATTTAATTATTACTAATTCATAATGCGATAACAAAATACTAAATTCTAAATTTTTTAACGAGATTCGAATTTTTTACTTTTAAATAGAGTATTAAGAATTTTTAACCACTAAATTACCGAGCTGAGCTGCTGATAATAACAAATCTAATTATCTAAACATTTGTTAACAACCTATCAATCATTTGTTGTCCCTTTTTTTTTTTTCTCTTCTTTTTTCTCAACAACCAAACAGATGGGTAGTATGGTCGGTTAAAAAAACTTAAAGGCGGTCCCAAAAATGTTCTACAAATCAAAGGGTGATAACCCACAAAGCATTTTATGCTGGGGCTCACAAATCATTCTCACTAGAAAAACCAAAAGAATTGCCCTCTTGGTTCTTGCTTTTGAGGAATTATAGATTTTCCATTTCCAGGAAAATCTAACCAAGTTGGACCTCCTACCTTTTTTTGTATTTTCTCTGGTGTTTTTACTCTCAAGATGACTCACCAAGCCAACAATTGACAGCAATCTTGACAACATATCAGAATTTAAAAACAAACAAATTGTCATATAAAAACCACTGTTTCTGATTATACTAATTGTTTGGGTTTGCCTATCTAACAATCTAAAGAAAAACTTGCCGCCACCAATCAATGAACTATAGTAGCACGAAGATTTTTCGATACGTGTTTGTGATGTCTGCTGATGTCACAGGCTGATCAGCTTTGTAATTAACTCACAATAAACATGGTCTATTTAGCAAGAATTAGAGAAGATATAACACAGACCAACCATGTATATACTTAAAAACCTACCATTACTCCTACTGTTTGTTTTGGTTTTTCCACTCTACTTCAGCATATGAGTCAAATAGATTCTCGATCAAAAACAAACACTTACCTGTATCGACATGGTTACAATTCATATCAATAACCTCGTTATGTGCAGCTCTTCTAACAGATGAAAACAATTAACAGAGATGCATAAGTTTTGCTTAAACAAATAAATATTTAACATTTTGCCATTTAGAAAGATTTACAAACAACATTTTCTACTGTGGCAGTTTGACCAACATAAGCAATTTTATTTGCAAGTATAGCAATAAGGTTTTCAAGCTAAATCTTACAGTATAAGTGTCTTTACAGGGAATGTATGTGTTTCACTCTCTGGATTGCTTGTTTCACCTTTGTAAATGGTTCTTCATACAAGATGGCAGGGTTGTCAAATTCAGATGCCAAACTTGGCTCACCAAGGAAAGCTCTGAATGAGTCTGCCACTGAATATGAAAGAGATTTGAGATTGTATCCTCCTTCCAAGAAAAACACACAGCGACCACCACAGAGATCCTTGGCAAGCTGCTTAATGTTGGACGCAAGCATGTAGTACGTTCCTGTTGTGAACTGTAGATTGGCCAGTGGATCCAGAACATGAGCATCATACCTGAGAGAAAGTCCAACCGTAATACATTAAGATTGACGATGGCTAGAATGCAATAACATTCATCCTAAGCTACTGATAGTTACAAACTGAAGGCAATTCTTAATTGCATTATGGGATACAAAAGTTTTATAGTTTAAGTGTTGAAGCAATCAGATTTTTCACTTGGACTATATGCCAAGATCCCAGCATCACTCAACTTTCATGTAATTTCACTTGTGTTCTCTATAACCCAAATGAAGGATGAAGTTCTGATGGTAGATAGAGAAAAAAATTTAGTCGGTCTAAGTGTCCATGTGCTTAGATGCTTCTCGTAATGATTTGCTAGATTTGGTGACTTCACTGAGGATTGATGATCCAGAGTCATCTTTACTTGAGCATCTTTTTGAACTCAACCATTATGGGAGAA